CCCTCTCCTCATTCACATCTCCCACTTGTCTATCGTATTGCCTGCATGCAATTGTCTGCTCTGCACACATTGCTAAGACATGAACCAATTCCCATGGTTGATTTTTGCATGGGTAATTTTTGCTTGTTATTACAGAAAATTAGATCAAAATGAGCTAACTGGTTCGATTCCATCTTGCATCAGCAATCTGAGAAACTTAAGAGAGCTGTAAGTCACCTGCTTTGCTGCGTTCTGCATCTTTTCATTGCCTCTTCAACTCGATATGCTGTGCTATGCCCATACTTGATTCGATAGTAGGTCCTAGCCGAGCTGGCATGTACCATCCACGACGCACTGAGAGGTTGACGAGCTGAGCGTGCAGTTTAGCTTGCTAGTCGCTCATCACATTGAGGCGAACCGGCAACGGGGGAGGGCTATGCTCGCCGACGAGCGGAGCCGGCTTGTCAAATGACCGTGAACTCGCGTGGCACTTTAGAAGCTCATGCAGTCTCGGCCAGAAAATCTAGGTTCTACTCCACCTGGGTGCCGAAAACGGAAATGGCGAGAAGCCTGGGGACAATCGCGGCTGTGCTGTGCTGTGTTGGGAAAGACGCTCAGGTAGGTAAGACGCAAGACGTGTCTTTCCCAACACAGGTACTATGTGGATTGGAGAAATTCTGGTTAGTGGTTGGGTTTTCTAGATAGTAAGGGGTGAAAGTATGCACGGGCAAAGGACGGGTCGAGTTGAACTTGACTCGTTTTTGCGAGTTTTTCTTACTTATCACGAGATTCAAGGAAAGCTCGTCGATTTTTTTTTTCCCAGAACACATGCTCGAGCTAACAGTACCTCCTGTAACAAGTTCATGCCTTGTCTTGCATTCGAGAAAAAAACATGAGTATAGAAATGGTAGGTACTAACGACAACAATGAACTTGGCTAATCTAAGAATAATGATTAGCCGAGGTCACAATGTTGACATTTGTACCGCACTCTGTGGGGTCAAATTAGACATGAGCACAAGGGCGAACACCTGTTCGGTTCGCCTCGAACACGTTCGAGGCGAACCGAACAGGTTTGTTTTTTTTGCTTAAATTGTTCGCCAAACAGTGTTCGATGTTCGCCCGAACACGTCCGTGTTCGGGCCGCTGCTGCAATTTGCCCCGCGACGAACACGAACGTGTTCGATGTTCGCCCGAACATGCCTTCACAGGCGAACGGCGAACACGTGTTTTTGCTTAAAGTGTTCGCCGAACCGAACAGTGTTCGGTTCGGCAAACGGATGTGTTCGTCTAGGGGCGAACACGAGTTCGTGTTCGCCCCTTGCTCATCCCTAGGTCAAATGTCTCGCGAGTTTATACATGGGCATACGAGCCGAGTTTTTACTCTTCTCGTTTTACGTACTAAAAAATCTCGAGATTCAAGTTTTGAATTTCACACAGTAAACTCGGCGAGTCGAGTTGAGTTGTACTCGCGAGTAAAGAAGAAAGCAAAAAGGTGAAAATGTGCACTTAACTCGACTTTTTCGGGATTTGTGTGGCATTTAACAATTCAGGACAGCGCGGATCTGGCATTTCGCCGCCAGATCCGTGCGAAATATGGTGGCATCTTGGTGTTTGCTGTGGAGTGGAGTAACAGGGTTTCCGGAGAGATGCCGTTGCCTGGACTATGTTGTTGCGTGTTGTGTAGTCAGACATGGGGCAGCTCTCTGTCTTCTGCTAACTGATTATGTGGGTGAGGTAGGGGGTGGGGGGGAAGGGGTGGGCGAGTCGAGTTTTACTCGCACTCGGTGGAGATTTCTAAAAAAATGGCCGAGTTTTTCAAAAACCCAATCATAAGGTCGGGTTTCGAGTCACCTGCAGGTTTGAAAAAAAGTAGACGAGTTTTTCTTGACTCGAAATGTCGGACAACAACAAGCTCGTCATTTGCCCGTGTATACCTTTGTTTTTACATTCGTCGAGTTAGCTCGTGTGTCCGAAAAACTCACTTATTCATGCGAGTTTGTTTTGTTCGAGATTCTTAAAGTTTGCGAATAAATCTTGAATCACCTTGCTGAGTTCCTTCCCAGCATGTACATTTACAGCTCATCCCGTGCGGTTAAGCTTGTTGCGTCAAAGTGCAAAATGGTGAAGCTTGAAAACCGCCGTGCACCACCCAAGTAGGGATGAGCAAGGGGCGAACACGAACATGTTCGTGTTCGCCCCTAGACGAACACATCCATTTGCCGAACCGAACACAGTTCGGTTCGGCGAACACTTTAAGCAAAAACACGTGTTCGCCGTTCGCCTGTGAAGGCATGTTCGGGCGAACATTGAACACGTTCGTGTTCGTCGCGGGGCAAATTGCAGCAGCGGCCCGAACACGAACGTGTTCGGGCGAACATCGAACACTGTTCGGCGAACAATTTAAGCAAAAAAAACAAACCTGTTCGGTTCGCCTCGAACACGTTCGAGGCGAACCGAACAGCTGTTCGCCCTTGTGCTCATGTCTACACCCAAGTTACTAAGTGTCGAGTAAAAACTCGATTTTTTGCCCTTGTGTAGTCCTGTGTTGCAAAAGACGCACATTTAGACTCAAGACGCATGGGGTGTTTTTTTTCCGGTCTGACCGATTTTTTTTTTGCCCGCGCGCGAATTTGACATTCGCCATTTTGACGCCAAGGTCGAAATCGCGAAATTCTCTCTCCCCCCCCCCAAACGAAATCGACCGTCACAACTAGGCCAAAACCCAAAAACGGAAACCCCCCCTACCAAAATTTACGCCACATCCTACTCAACCGCACAAGATCTACTCAACCCAACCACAATTGCATACCACCAAGAGTATATTGCAGCACAAGTGCTTCATTTGTGCTCGTCCACTTTAGTTCAACCAAATTCTCCTCGGAAAACCCTAAGGGGTTTAGCTCTTAGTAGACCTAACTTATGGCTTCTCCTAGTTCTTCCTCCATCTCCTTGTATGTGACGTGGTCAAACTTCTCGTGAGGGGGAAAACACTTGGTACGGGATTTTTTTTGGCTGAAATGTGAATTATGTAAACCTCCCCCCCCCCATGCCCAATTGGGGTTTTATTTGGGCCTGCCCCAACCGTTTTTTGGTTTGCCCGGGCTTGCGTCTGTATCTGCGTCTTAAAAGGCCCAAAAATGCGTCTTGCGTCCTGGACGCAGTGTCTAGACGCACTGCGTCCAGGACGCAAGACGCGTCTTCTGCAACACAGGTGTAGTCTACTGATGATCAGTTTCCCTCAATGTGCTAGATGGGCAATTTTCCGTGAGTAGAACGATGGGGATGTTAGAAGTGCTACTAACGACCAGGAGTTGCTGTGAATTGTTTTCTTTCTCACAACGGCATCTTTGAAGTTTAGGCCTTTTTTTTGTCTGACAAGAACGCATATAGAATACTAGCGAAAAAAAAAAAACAATTGTTTGATTTGCGACAATCGCCCATTTCCACCTTCTTTCCCGTTGCTCTTCCCCTTTCGTGTCCTTATCTCTCCCTCTTCTTCCATCTACTCTTCTCTCCATCCAGAAGCTCTCGTCCATCGTAGCTCCAATTCTTCCAGCCTGTTTGACTGATCCTCGGTCAATGTCTTGAACGCTCTACCCACTCTACCTCTCTTGCCTCGCTCGACGTGTCTCCATCCTTTCACAAACGCAGGTATCTGGGAGGCAATCAGCTTGACGGCTCCATTCCTCCTGCTACCCTGAGCCCTTTAACAGCATTGAGAGCATTGTACGGCATGTCCTGCTTCTGCATTCGATGGTCGAGAGGCATCTTTTGTATTCCGCCAGAAAAGGGCTCTTTGTGGAGTGAAGAGTGATGTGATCGATGATTTGCTATGCACGCACAGCACAGCATTACCCCACTTATTAAAATAACCTGATTTGCTCTATATTCCAGGGATTCGTTTCTTCCCTGGCTTTTGTTTTTGTTTTTTGTGTGTTTTTTTTTTTTCAAGTTTTTAGTGGTCCTCTTAGCCCCTGTTCACTTCTCTAGTATCTGCTTCTCGCTTTTCTCTTGCCATATGTGCTTCTTGGTTCCCGGCTCTCACCGTCCCACCTCGTCCTCCTTTGCTTCTTTTCATCTGCAGCGACTTTTTCTTGCTCTTCTCTTTCGTAACCGCAGATCTTTAGCCAGCAACAAGTTAACTGGAAATCTCTCTTTCGTTTCGACACTCGTTACTATGGAGATCCTGTAATGCCCCTTGTCTGTTTCTCCTCTCACTTGCGTCTCTTGTTTGTTATAAAAGACGACAAGAATCCACATGATGTACCACCAGGTAGGGATGAGCAGGGGGCGAACTCGAACATGTTCGAGTTCGCCCCTTCTCGAACATCTACTTCTGCCGAACCAAACAGTGTTCGGTTCGGCGAACTATTTGGGCGAAAAGTGGTGTTCGCCGTTCGCCTTAGGAGGCGAACGATTTTCTGCAGCAGGCGAACACGAACATGTTCGAGGCGAACATGTTCGTGTTCGCCCAGGGGGATATTCAATATAGTCACACATGTCAAAAAACAATTTTGAAGGTTCAGGATGATAGCAAAATGTTTGCAGGGTGTATATGTGTGCAGGGAAATGTCAATGTCTAACAAATTCCTACGCCAAGGCACCACTGCTACTACCAACAACAGCATCTTCTCCACCAGCTGTGTCGTCAGCCTCCACACCCTTCTCCTCCTCCTCCTCGTCCTCCTCCGCCCTCTCGCCCTCAATGACGAACTCTGGTGGTGCGACGCCTCTCGGTCGGCGGCCCTCGCCTATCCTCTGGCCAGGGTGTGAACTGTACCATGATATGAGAATCATGACAGCTCGCGTCCTCTGAGAGGCCAGGCGGTGCTGCTTCCAAGAAATGAGGTTGCGACCAAGGGAGAACACCCGCTCACTCGAAGCGGACGTGGAAGGGATGGCGAGATAATCCCGGGCCATGCGCCTCAGCGTCTGCATGTTGGTGGCACTGCGCCAGTACTCTAGCGCTGTCACGTCGCACCGCACCCTCTCGGACAAGTACCTGCTAACCTTGTCATCCTACACCATCCCACCCCCCCCCGCCTCCTGGCTCGCCGACAGACGCGCCGCAAGTCGTCGGCGACTAGGGAGAAACTGCGCATCATCGTCGTTCTCCGCCTCGTCTCCCTCCTCCGCAACGGGGGCAAGTGGGGTCGGCCGTGGAGCAAGCTCTGCAGCCCGGGCCTGGTACTCGGCCACGCGGTCGCGCACCAGCTTGATCACCTCGCCAGACGCTGGATGCGGCCTCACCCTCCTATCGGTCTCGGGATGCAGCTTCTCCCAATGCGCGTCGTCGAACCACGCCGCCTTCATGGATGGGTCCAAGAAGGTGGCGATCCAGTACTCGTTGCTGGTGATGTACACGTACTTCTTCAAGTGGCTCAGCGCCGCCACGATCATCGGCTGCAGCGTCGGAGATAACCCTTGGCAAGGCGCGACTCCATGGCGTCGATCAGGCCGTTGTACTACGGCACCACCGTCGACACAGTCGGGTACGCCGCCCCCTCAGCTGCTTAGGAGACCTTGGCGAAGGGGCTTAGGAATGTCTTCACCGCCTGCAGGGTCTCCCAGTCTGCGTCTGTCAGGCGCAGACTCTCCACCTTCTTCTTGTCGGTCTTCAACAAGCCCTGTCGGGTAGAGGGAATGGTTTGGGGGGAGGTATGAGGGAAACTGTAATTATGGAGGAGGATTTTGGCATCCGGCCGGCAACATACAAGCTTGACCAACATTATTGTGTAGACGTGCTGGCCGGCAACATACAAGCTTGACCAACATTATTGTGTAGACGTGCTAACACATTACACCACACCATGACATAACCACACACTACAACCCACACACAACACATGTGTTACCTGTGTCGGGCGAAGAAGACAGTGATGGGGTTCTGCAGAACACCCGCACGCTCGACCATGTCGTGGGTCAACCCCCAGCGCGTAGGACTGTCCTGCACCAGCTTCAACGCCGGCTCCGGCGTGGCGGGGCTGGCCTGCGAGTTCAAGGTCCGCTGTAGGCCCAAGAAAGACCCCGAGCGCTGTGGAGAGAAGCCAATCCACGACGCCATCTCTCTCAGTATCTTCAACAACTTCCGTATGGAATCCACAGACAGTGCTGCCTGCACTGCAAGGTTTATCACGTGTGCCAAGCACCTGCGCACGGAACACAACATTAGGGAAAGAGATAAGGGGAAGTTGGAGGACACATGGTTAGAGCGAGCCACAAACCCATACCAGAACCCACACACCCTACAACTCGAATCGCACCGGCTCACCCCTCCATACAACTACAAATTGTCCATGCTGGAACGACACACCCACAAAGGCAAACACACGCCCACACTCCCACACACCCAACCCACGCACACTCCCACACTCACCGGAAGTGCATGCACGAGTTGAAGAAGCACTGACCACCACCCTCCTCCGACATCCGCCTGAAGGTGGCAATGTTGCTAGAGGCGTTGTCTGTCGTGAAACCAAGACAACGCCCCTCCAACCCCCACTGCACAACCGTCTCCTCAACCACCTGCGCCATCTCCCTGCCCCCATGCCGCCCGAGCATCTCACGGAACTCAAGCACCATTGTGCGCAGCTGGAAGTTCTCGTCTATCCAGTGAATACACTAGCCATCTTAGTTGCGGAAGACGCTCGACGCGTCTTGCGTCTAGCGTCTAGACGCAGCGTCTAGACGCTTGACGCAAGACGCACTTTTAGACGCAAGACGCTTGGGCGAATTTTTTTCGGGCAGCCCGAAAAAAATAATTCGCGCGCGCGAAATTGAAATTCGCCATTTCGACGCGAAATTCAATTTCGCGCCATTAGAACCCTTTCCCACCCATTTCGACCACAAAAACCAGCCTCCCAAGCAAATTTGAGTCCCCCCCAACCAAAATTGAACACAAACCACACTTCACCGCTTGGTATCTAGAAAACCCAACCTCTATGGCCAACCACCTAGAGGTTGGGGAGCACAAATCCCTCATTTGTGCTCCCCTACCTTCATTTCTTCCAAATCTCTTTCGAAAACCCTTAGGGTTTAGCTACTTCCACCGCGCAACCATGTCTTCTAGTATCCATTGTGACATAGGTGCATGTCCCTGTTAGAATTTATATGTAACTGCCTGTAGCTGTAGTTTAGTGTAGTTATTATAAACTGTTGGTGGTGCACCTTCTTTGCATGCTCTGTTTACTATATGTACCCGAGTGCTATAGTGAACACCACTTTTCCCATTCTCGACTCTCACCTTGGCACAACCTCCTCGACTTCCCCTAGGCCTAGGCTACTAAGCCTAGGCCCTACCTAAAACCTAAGCTTACTCTTACTTAGTAACTCAACATGGCATTAGAGCGAGTTACGTCCTGGCCTGTGGGCCCGCCTCACGCTTCCGCTGCTGTTTTTCCGGTCGCGCGCCTCGGGCGCGTGGCGATTTTCGTCCTGTCCCGCCCCCGGGTGGCGAGTGACATCTTTTCTGCCCGTCGCGCGCCCCGTGGCACGCGACGGTGCCCTGCCCGTCGTGCGCCCCGTGGCACGCGACGGTGCCCTGCCCGTCATGCGCCCCGTGGCACGCGACGGTGCCCTGCCCGTCGTGCGCCCCGTGGCATGCGACGGTGCCCTAAACTGCCCGTCACGTGCCCCATGGTGCGCGACGGTGCCCTGAGCCGCCGCGGAACCGCCCCTGGCACCTGCGACGGTGTCCTGAGCCGCCACGTACCCGCCCCTGGCGCACTCGGCGGTGCCCCTGCCTCACCCGCACCTGCACTCGCTGCAGCCGCCCCTGCACCACCCGGCGCCTGCCCTTGGAGCAGCCGCCCCCGCTCCTGCACTCGGTGCAGCCGCCTCTGCCTCACCCCGCGCCTGCACTCACTGCAGCCGCCCCTGACCTACCCGCGCCGACCCTCTGTAGCCGCTCTGTGGCTTTCTCCCCGCCCACCCCCTCCTCCTTCGTCTCCCTGCAGCCGTGGGGGGGAGGGTATGGGGGTGGCGGGTGTTGGGGTGATGGGTGGTGTGCTTCCCTTCCCCTCCTCCTCCTTTCGTTCCCACTGCTGCAGCTGCCGCTGGGGGGGAGGGTGTGAGGGTGTGGGGGAGCCGGGGGAGTGGCACTGGGGTGGCGGGTGTGAGACCAACCAGCAGCCGTCCCTCCACCTCTCCTCTCTTCCCCCCTATGCTGCTCCTGCAGCAGTGTGGGGGGGAGGGGGAGGGGGAGGGTGAGGAAATGGAGGGGGTGACCAGCCAGAGCCAGCCCGCCTCCTCACTCTCCCTGCTGCCCCTCCTGTGGTTGGGGGGGAAGAGAGTAAGGGGGTGGCAGGAATTTCTTGCTGTCGCCTGTCCCTTTACTGCTGTACCTGCTCTATTACCATACCTGCTGTTGCTGTTGCTGGTATACCCCTGCAGGTTGTGTTCTGCACAAACTCCTGCTGCAGGCAGTTATGGGGGAGTGTTAGAATTTATATGTAACTGCCTGTAGCTGTAGTTTAGTGTAGTGATTATAAACTGTTGGTGGTGCACCTTCTTTGCATGCTCTGTTTACTATATGTACCCTAGTGCTATAGTGAACACCACTTTTCCCATTCTCGACTCTCACCTTGGCACAACCTCCTCAACTTCCCCTAGGCCTAGGCTACTAAGCCTAGGCCCTACCTAAAACCTAAGCTTACTCTTACTTAGTAACTCAACAGTCCCCCACCCTCCCCATGCCCCATAGAACGTGTTTTGGTCTGCCCGAACATTTTTTTTAGGCCTGCCCGGGTTTTCGTCTAATACTGCGTCTAATCTACACTGTCTAGCGTCTAGCGTCTTAGACGCTGCGTCTAGACAGACGCGTCTAAGACGCTAGACGCGTCTTCCGCAACTTAGCTAGCCATGCCTTGTTGTTGGGTGCCGTCCACATGTCGATGGTGATCGACACCTTGCACCCCAACTCCCCCTCCTTCGCCAGCATCTCCGCAATGGCGGACTGGAGAGCGGCTATTGCTTAGACCACGGTGTCGCGGGATACCGTCCAGCGCGAGGGGATGAAGTTCTTCTGCGCTCAGTTGCGGTTTAGCAGGATCAATAGCTCCCGAAACTGGAGGAGGGTAGAGTAGAGACAACGAGGGAGAGGGTTTTCAACGTCAAGGGGATGGTTTTGAGACAAAGTGGCACACGATTACAATAGAAGCATCAAATAGTAAACCACATACTGCCAAATCCCGTTCATACAGCAGGCATGGGTCACTCACAGCCTCGGACTCGACGTTGCGGAAGGGGAGGTCGCAGGTGGCCACTAGCTTGGCGATCGCCTGCCGTAGCTCCTCCGTGGACAGCTTGGTTGTCATGAACCGCTCCATCCCGCTTGACCCCCGAGCTCCACCGGACGCCGTCCCTTTCTTCTTGGCGAGATGCGGCCAAGACTTGGCATGCGGCCACCCATCGACGTAGCCATCCGGCACACCCTTGTAGCCCCCACGAGGAAACGTCTCCCCAGGCAAGAGAACGGACGGAGTGTGGTAACGGTGATGCCTCACGTGCATGTGCGCTGTGTGGTAGCTCTCGAAGTGCCGCTCGTCGGGTGTTGTTGTGGATTGCTTCCACGAAATCCTGTCAGTGCAAATCCTGCACTGACGCTTCTCGTCTGCCCCTTTAGGCCCGAACATCTGTACTTGCCACCCCGGTTTCTTATTACCCTTGCCAGTCCCCTTACTACTCTCGGACCCTCCGTCCTCGTCTAGGAACTCCGGAGCGACCACACCCTCGCCCAAGAGCTTCCCAGTGAATGTGCAGGGATACGCTCGCTCGCTCAACTTGTTCGCCCTCTTCCTCCGCTTCGGCCCCGCAATGGACGCCCGCTTTCTCCCCACGTTCACCCACACGCTCCCTCCTCCTTCAGCCACATGCTGTGAGGCCGCCTCTGTCGCCGCCCCTCCACCACCCTCTCCCACCCCCTCCTCCACCTCCTCTGGCTCCAACCCATCCATCTCATGGTCCTCCTCATCATCCCCCCCTTCCCCACCGCCATGCGTCACGGGATCCCACCCGGCCTCACTGTCATCCTCGCTCCCCTCATCGTTCTCATCCTCCTCGCCCTCACCCTCCTCCTCATCCTCCTCCCCACTGCCACTCTCTCTGGCTGCGTCTGCCCAGAAGGAGGGGGTCGCGGGCCTGAGTAACGGAACGAGTGACGGGACGTTGGCGCCGGTACGGAAAGAAACCCCCCGACGAAACAAGCGCCGGCTCCTACAGGTCCATCCCCTACTCGCCCCTGCATAGGTCGTGGCGGAGAACCTGGTGTACCGCCCTGAGCTCCGCCTGCACCTCGTTCTACAGATCCATGTTGGCCGGAAGCCATAACTCCGCCCTCGGCCTTTAAACCCTAAAACCCCAAAGTAACGGTCGCAAGCCACGGATAGCACGGTCCTAATTGAACTCCTAGTTACGTGTGGCACGGAGAAATGCCCGCCCCTACAACTAGAGAATTGTCCTCTACAAGCTTGATCCCGTAGCTACCTACACTTAGTGTTTTTGAAACTACCCTACACTATTAACTACTGAGATGAAATGTCCGTGTAAAAGTTAAGGAACGGTGTGCGATGGCTCTTAAAACCGCAAGGCTATGGCGGTTGTGGGAGGGAGGGCTAAGCGCCGAAGACGTTTTGAGTTTGAGCTCAAGAAATGAGCTCAAACTCAAAACGGCCGCGACCTAAATTTGGTCGCGGCCAATTTTGACGCGAACACTTTGGTGTTCGCCTGCCCCCCAAATCGAACACGAACGTGTTCGTGTTTGTCCATCCTTCGCCAAATGGAGGTGGCGAACGGCGAACATGTTCGGCCGAACACCGAACATGTTCGTCCCGAACTTCTTAGTCGAAAAAAAAAAATGTTCGGTTCGCCTCGAACATGTTCGAGGCGAACCGAACAGGTGTTCGAGATTTTGCTCAAGCCTACCACCAGTGTGATGTAGAAAGCGATTAACCTGCACATGATAATTCATTCTGGATATGCCATTTTGATGCCATGAAGACATCTAGACATTAGCATAAAAACTGACCACAGTTCGGTTCGCTATGGTTCGGTTCGTTTTTACCCGAACTAAACCGTTTTTTTGGACGGCCGGTTCATAGCAACAATTTGCCGGGCCGAGCCGAAGCGAACCAGTTCAAATTTAAGGCTAAAAACCAGAGAGTTGGATCTCATATCGAGCTCTCGTGGTCTACTACGCCCCCTTCCACCTAACATTGGGGTGTTTCCCACGATTATTTTTCAGGTTTCATTTCATGTGATGGTAACTTTAGCGAATGGGCCCCTGCGAACAGAACCAACCTGGCTTGGCTGAACCGGTTCGGTTCGTTGCCTTATGTCACGAGCCTCGAACCGACTATGCTAGATTGGTTCGTTCACGAACTGGTTAGGTTCTTTAGCGACCCGGGGCGGTTTGAAGGGTATCTAACCGAACTGGTCCCGTTCGGTACCGTGCGCCTATCTAGAGTTCTGTGATTGCACCATTCTGCATTCTCAGGCCTCCTACTCATGTTCTCCTCAGGATTCTCAATGGCAATCAGTTCAGTGGCTCCATTCCCTCTGACATTGGCACTCGCTTGCTCAAACTGCAATATCTGTGAGGCCCCTGCTTGGTTTTCCTTCTATATGCTTTCTCTTCCCGCCTCGTGTGGTACCTGTGCGTTGTACAACTTGACAAGGGAGGGAGGGGTATACATGAGCAAACGAGTCAATTTACTCAGGGGGTTCTTTAACTAGCCATTTTCAAGTTTCGAGCTCATTCTTTTTGGGGATAAGACTTAACTGAGTCAGGCCGAGTAAAAACAAAAAACTCAACTGAGTTCAGCCGAGTTAAAAAAACCCAACTGAGTAAACCGAGATAGGGGGAAAATAAATACTTTGACAAGTACGTGGTTATGGCTTGGGTTGGGGCGCATAGGTCGTGGTCGTTATCCATGTCAAATTGAAATCTAAAAATGAACCGTGTGGGAAACCTAGAAATGGATGCAACTGTCAGAACTGGGTCCTCCTCCTCCTCCTCCTCCTCCTCTTCCTCCTCCTCCTCCTCCTCCTCCTCCTCCTCCTCGCATCCTTTTGTTTATGTTTTCTTTCTTGCCCTCAGCCAGATTCCCTGCCTGTGTATGCTTGCTACTATTCCCCCACCCACATCTCCCTCACCTCTCTCCTCACGTGCAGTGGTGCCGCTCGCAACTACCTCTCAGGCCCCATGTCGGGTCTTCCATGGACCAAAATGGATCTTGCAAGAAACTTCTTGACCGGTCCTCTGGATCTTTCACTCTCCACTGACGGCCGTCTCGTTGAAAACTGTTTCACACGGATTGATTGTCTCCCCACGCAGCCCAACTGTTCCCTCACAAATCAGCGGCCCACAGTAGAGTGCACGGCATTCTGTGGTGGCTGGAATGCCTGTGATGGCCGTGGCATTTGCTATCCAGACGGACCCAGCTTGGTGCCAACGTGCTTGTGCGAACCGGGATACGTGCGGTTCAGAAGGTTCAACTGTCTTACAGAAGGTAATTGTTGTAACAATGATTATCATTATTGATCCACGTGCAACACAGTAGTGATCATTGTTGTATATTTTTCTTCCCTGCTACATAACACTTCTTATGTGCCCTGCCTCCTGCACGTTAGTATCGCGTCCTTTACTTTGTTCGCATTGATTGGCTTAAGCCCATGCCTTCGGATTGTTTGCCAGGTGACCTACAGAAGGGTTTCAGCTGATGCACCATTGAGGTTTTCAGACCTAGGCGACACTTAATAGGCATTCAGCCGCTGCACAATGTTTCTGCAACCTATGCTGCAGAGACCCTTTTTTTTTTCACCAGCGTATGCGTGTCTTGCTGGTCTGTGCTCATCACCCTGAAGCAGTCTTCTTTTTTCCAGCTTGAATGAAATCCATTGCTCCACCAATCCCGTCCTTCTTTGTGCCCTTCTCTCATCCGTTGAATCCTTTCAGGTTGGGATCAGGGCCTCTTATTCAACAAGCCTATGCTTCCTTTATTCACCGTTCTCACCAAGGGAACGCAACGACAGACAGTGGGGAAGTTTATGGCAAAGCCAGTAAGCCTTTTCGCGTACCCAAAGCCTTTGACCACAGGATGTGGCGCGGAGCTGGCTTTCAGTGTCAACTTCACATTCTGCCTCATTCCCCAGAGTGGTACTGGGGGGTTCAACGGCTTTGCATTTGTAATCGAGGCAAAGGGCAAGGTGGGCAAAGCTAATGGTGTAGGTTACGGTGGAATGGAAAGGCGGAGTGTAGCCATTGAATTCGACACACTTCAGAATGGCAACCACTATGATCTGAAGGAGCAGCATGTAGGGCTCAACATAAATGGCTTGGATAGTTCGCTGGTCGCAGTGGAATCACCATTCACTCTGACCGACGGTGAATTATACACATCATGGGTGGACTATGACCCTTGGAATTCTGGGACAATTCAAGTGTTTCTGGCCAATTCCAGGGTGAAGCCAGAGACGCCGCTGCTGCAGAGGGAGCTTTCGCTGTGTGCGGTGCTGCAGCCTAGTGGGCAGCAGACAGCATTCTTCTTTGGCTTTGTGGCGTCCACCACTAAGAAGCCCTTTCAGATGCATACCATTGTCAAATCCGCCATGCGGACAGGCAAGTAATTTGCTGAGTGGTGTGACGGTGATGGCAATGAGTGTGTTGATGATGATGATGATGATGATGATGATGATGATGATGATGATGATGATGATGATGATGCTGCTGCTGCTGCTGATGATGATGATGATGATAATGATGATGATGATGATGACGATGATGATGATGATGATGATGATGATGATGATGCTGATGATGATGATGATGATGATGATGATGATGATGATGATGATGATGATGATGATGATGCTGATGATGATGCTGATGATGATGATGATGATGATGATGATGATGATGATGATGATGATGATGATGATGATGATGCTGCTGCTGATGATGATGATGATGATGATGATGATGATGATGATGATGATGATGATGATGATGATGATGATGATGATGATGCTGATGATGATGATGATGATGATGATGATGATGATGGTGATGATGATGACGATGATGATGATGAATTTGAGATGAACAGTCGATGATGATAATGGCATTGTGGTGATGGTGGTTGGTGGCATTAAAAATAATCGTATATCACGGTTAGTAATCTGACAGACTTAACTGTGCTTAGCAAAAACCTCAACAGTCGTGGCTGGGAAAGAGTGGAGATGACGAGCTGAAAGCTGTCTAGAGTGACCAGTCACGTGCTTCTTCATCCTTGAATCTCATCTTTCATATTTGTTCTGCTGTGGCGTGGTTGTTTTTCTTTGTCTTTTGTCTTCTCACATAGATACTTCCTGCACACAAGCCAGTCCAAACCAACCAAGGTGACCTCTCTCCTCCTTGTGACAACCATCCAAGGAGATGATCAGCACTAGTAAAGTCCAGGAGAACCATATAACAGCTGGGAAACCCAAGGGTGAAAGAGAACTTGACTACACAGTTTCGTAACTCTATGCATATGCCAATTCAGGCATGATCACGGGTCCAACCTGAATCAGTTTGACATGAACCGAGTTGCCCGGACTGATGATCGAGCCAAACCTGAACCGGTTTGAATCAAACCTTTTGGGGGGACCGGAAAGGTAGGTTCGATGCAGACTGTGGTTTAAGTCAGGTCGGTTCAAATCTGGCCCTACCCCTTCTTCCCTCCCTCCCCCTCCCCTTCTTGTTTTAAATTAGTTGAGTGTCAAAGAAATGTGCTCGATAAACTGTGGAGAAAGCATGCAGGCTGAATGTTGGAGCTACAAACTCAGGCCCCCGAAGTTACGCTCCCGCGACTCGGACCACACACACGGTCCGAGACGAACCTTGCTATGTTCAACTCAACATCAAAGTCGTGTCAAACTGTGTCTGTTGGGGTGATGGGATTCTTGGCCCTTTGCCGACCTAAGCACCAACCAATGCTAGCGGTGGTAAGGTAAGGAAACGCTAGGAGCGATGAAATTCTAGCTATAGCTAGATTGGTGGAGCTAGCAAAGGAATGTGTCAAGAATGAGGAAAAACGAAATGGTAGGAAAAACAGGGCACAAAATATATTGCGAGAACATTCTTCGTAACCCAGAACACAGCGGGCTATGGAATACGGTCCATGTGCCCCATGGAGCCAAACGCGGTCCGTTGCTCGAAACTGCACAACCCACCTCAGAATGCTTATGATCCGCCATTCTGACAATGATTTTATCTGTTGTCTTGAGTGAAATTTCAGCTTGGAAACCCTGTCTGTCACGTTCCTGCGTTCTCCAAAGAGGCAAAGATATGGCCCCACTTTGGTAGACTTCTTATGCTTATGCTGAATACACAGCAACACATGATTCTGCTCCCTTTTTTGTTGTGCAAGGTTGCAAACTCTAGTGTAGTGCCTTGTGTTCAATGCGAGCTCCAAGGTGGATCTGTGCTTCACACGCACGCCCTGTGTGCCTCTCAGCTTCCCATCACCCATGTTGTCTAATACTCTTTTCCAACCCATCCATCCCCTCACAGGACAAGGACTAACAGTATCAGAAAGCACGTACGCACCACCTGGAGCGAGCCCGTTCTCGCGCTATGTGAGCACGGACTACCAATGGACGGACAACGATGCGAGTGTGGACTCGTAGGCCATCCGTGACTTCCACTCCTGGAACGCCATGGCCTTCCTCAAGTGGCCTGTCAAGGATCAGCTGCTTTGCAGTGAGTGACAAGAGGATGGAGATTGATGTGAAGTGTGGCAGTGGACCATTCCAGATCAGATGTCCTCTGTTATTCAGGTTCACATGCTGAACAGCTATTTTTTAGCGTAGTGTCATGTTGCACGTTACGACCTCGTCACAAGTTGTGGTGTTTGCCCCTGCCGATATTCTTGCCATCTGCAGCACTGCTCAGGGCAGCAAGGTCCTCCCGTTGGGAATGCCCTCGTTTAGTGTCTTCATGTCTACTTCTCACATGCATTCTGTGCGTGTTTATCTTCAGCGTTGCTCCACCCTCAGATGCTAAGCCCGAATCACTATTTCCATGTCTACTGATTCTCAGGTGCCTGCTGGGCGTATGCGGTGGTGGCGAGTGTGAAGGCTGCGTACGGCATCGCATTGAATCAAGCCGCTCCTCCGCTGTCAGTGGAGTCCCTCTTTGCAGCCATGGGGCTCACCGATGCAAACAAGTGCACCGCTGGAGGCTCCCCCACAGCGGCCTTTGAGAAGCTCGTCACTCTTGATGGCAGCAGTGGACTCATAGAAGTGGACCCGGTAGGGAGATCAGAACGAGAGCATGGTAAGTGAGGTGGGGTGGGAGGAGTAATGAAAGGTTGCTAGAAACAGCAGCTCGATTTCAGCAAGCAACTCTAAGAGAACCTCATGTTACATATCCCTGTACCCTTTCTTCATCCATCTGCTCTATGCATACATCTTCGAGCCAGAACCCGTACTCCCAGGAAAAAATATACCCGGTGGCGGCATTTGAGCGAGTGCTCTTCAAGGGATACTTTGGGCTCATGCTGGCAGTGCGGCGCCAGCGAGTGGTGGTTCACATCCAGGCTACAGCTGACACGTTCTTCCAGTATGATGGGGTGAGTCGTGGTGCCTCGCGGACTGATGCAGTGTAGTGCACCCTTGCAGGATGGCACATGTATTCATATGCATGTGTCACAAGTAGATAAATGGCAGCTAATTGGAGAACCTTGGGTCTTAGCTTCCTTATGGATGGCTGATCATACTTGTGCTTTGATTTCATGACCAATGTATGTCATTTCCCCCTTTCCCCTCCAGTCATTCAAGTACCAGGACCCTGCGTGCTACATGGGCAGTCTGAACCATGTGGTGCTCGTCGTTGGCTACTTCATCAATCAAGACGACGGCAGCCAGAAACGCATTGCTCCTCCATTCTGGGTGATCCGCAACTCATGGGGAGTGGGGTGGGGAGACAGAGGCCACATGCGCATGGACATTCAAGGAGGGGATGGCATCTGTGTCATCAACGTGCTGCCTGGCATCTACCCCGTTGTCAAGAGTGAGTGAGGCATTTACCACATTGTCAAGTAGGGTTGAGCACGGGCAGGGCCGGGCCCAGCCTGGGTCGGGCCAGGCTGGGCTGCCCAAAAAAGCGGGCCGTGCCCAGCCTGGCCCGACTTGGGCCGAATGAGCTTTACCTTGCCCCGAGTTCGCCCAGGGGGTACTTGGGCCGCGCCTGGCCCGACCCGGGCCCGACCCGGGTGCACTTTTGTTATAGGTAAATTGTTTTTTGGGCTTGTTTTAGAGAGGCAAACAAGTCTAGGGCCCGACGGGGCGGGCCCGGGCCGACAGCCCTATTTAGAGGTTCGGCCTGGGGAAGTTTCGGGCCAGCCGGACCCGAGCCTGGCCCAGCCCGTTTTTTTGCTCAACCCTACTGTCAAGAATGAGCCATTTACCCCAATTTTGTCAACAGTTAGGAGTTGGGCATGTCTGGGAAATGCACAAGATTACTAAGGGCAAGAGGCAGCAAACCTTTCCCCACTCCCGCCTCCCGTCCCAACCTTTTCATCCACTCCACCCCGGTTCTTGCCTCGTGTTCACTCATTGCAATACAAAAGCAGACAAGCTTGCTGCAATTTCACAATCAGGTGTCGTATACCAGACAACCTCATCCCACAAATAGTTTGGGTTCTGAGCCGGAGTTTCTGCTGAAGGAAGCAGACACCAGCATGCCCCATACCGACATGAGGTGTTAATGGAGAGGAAGAGAGGCATGTTCTTAATGTGGGATGAGCAAAAGGAATGGCAAGAAGGAGGCCGCCAGAAGCCAATCCCCCATGCCATATCTTGAAATTCAAATAGCAGGCGCTGTATATGGCGATTTGGGGGGTCCAAGTCCATCGACCGTGATGCTGTAATTTTTGCATAGCGGTGGCATTGGCCGAGAGCATGCTGGAGCGCAAGGCCAGATGGGACCTAGCGCCTATGATGAGAAGGCGCTAGCGTCCGAACGCTGGATGCCCACCCAGCCGCCGAGAGGACGCTAAGAAGACGCTGGGGCGGGCAGGCTAGAAAAAATTGTTGGGCAGGCAAAAAAAGAGTTACAGGGGATCGAAGGGGAGGGTTTGGGGACATAGCAAACAATGGGAAACCTAAATTTCCTCATAATGTCAAATTTCCTTAAATACACTCTAGGGTTAGCGAAGGAGAATTCTGGAAACCCACTAGGGTTTACAACTAAGTTGGCATTGTACGTCTACGCTGGTTTACGTTTACGCAACTTTACGAAGTAAACGTACGTTTGCGTACGCTTGCCTGATATGGGTTTGCGTTTACGGTCAACACAGAAACTTTTCAGCCTGCCCAAAAAAAAGTTATGCAGAGCACACAAAACTTCTTCAAGAACACACTATCACCAGAACATTCTAATTTCTCCTTTCCCTTGGCGTACTCCTTCCACACTTGGCTGGCCACCAAGCGATCCAGCAGTTCCCGGACCTGAAGTAGGTTAAGGCGATGAAATTCGTCCAGACTCAACGTCTGGACGCTGGACGCTTCCCTGTTTGGGCGTCCATAGTAACATAGGCTCTAGGAGAGCTAAGGGGGTAGACATAGAGAGCAGCTGTTTACAAGCAATGGACTTGTAGGAAGAAACCCTCGTTCATATGCAAGTACATCGGTAGCCCTTTCGCTCTCCAGATCTTAACATTGAATGCTGACACAAGTAGACTTCCAGGCTAAGCTGCAGAAGACGTGTCTAGCGTCTTAGACGCCGGCGTCTAGACGCAGCGTCTAAGACGCTAGACGCGCGTCTTGGGCAGATTAGACGCTGGGATAGACGCAAGCCCGGGCAGGCCAAAAAAATAGTACGGGCAGCCAAAAAAACCTTTTATGGGATGATCACGACATCTGGGTATAGCAGACGAATTAGGTATGGGACATTCACGAGATTTAGTTGATCGATATCTAGAATTTCTAGATCTAACATTGACGCTCACAATTTCGTATCTCAAATTGGTTGGGTTTTCTAGATTCAGTGCGGTGAAGATCGGTATTGGGAGGGGGAATTGGTTGGTCACGAAATGGTTCACAAATATGTGGGCTGTGGGGTACGAATTCCGATTTCGACCTAGCTTTCCGTTTCTCAATTTCTCCCACACCTCCTCCGATGCTCTTTCTAGAACGTCTTTATTTGCCCGGCTCGTTGTAGAGCAGAGGCGCGCAACACTTTACTCCTAGCTTTTAATACTATTGTAGGTGGTGGGGCTAAAAGCTAGGTTTGGGGGTTGTTTTTCAAGGTCGACATGGGTGGGAGCCTGGGAGGGGGTTGGAATTTCGCGCGCGCGGATTTTTTTTTTTCGGACTGACCAAAAAAATTCCCTTCAAGTGTCTAGCGTCTTCGCGAGCGTCTTCTGCAACTTAGCTTCCAGGTAACTAACACGTTGCTTTGTCCTACAGTCAAAAAACTTTCGTGCTGATGCTTTCAGCTTGTACCCTCTCCTTCACGTTTCAGTTCCAGGGGACCCGTGCAGCAACAATAGTTACAAGGGCGACCAGGATTTGTACGGCATGAACCCGTGTGGCCGGTTCCCATGCCAGAAGACAACTCAAGGCCATACATGCAGCTGCGTTATTCCTCAATTTTCTCAAACGATTCAACCTTTTGTTGAGGTTGACAACGGAGGTGGCTCTAAAACCTGTGCTTATGGTAAGATCTTCCTGTTCATTACAAAGTACGACGTCGCTTGGAGACTAATATTGCTCCCTCCCTCCCTCCCTCCCTCTCTCTCTCTCTCTCTCTCTCTCTCTCACTCTATATCTATTTATCTGTATCTCTCGCTCTCGCTTTCTCCTCCCCTGTCTTCTCAATTCCGCCATGGAGGGAATGTGGCATAACATGATAACCCTTGCTATACCCTTGCATATTTCTCGCATGTCCTATCCTTATACCTTGTTTGTCCCTATGTCCCTCGTTGCTCGATCTTCCCCCTTTTCTCCAATCTGTGCATTATCCATCACCCCAATGCCAATGTGGCAGTGGACGTGTGTGGGTCGTACTTCAAGAACCCCTGCTACGTGGGCACATGCATCAACGATCTCAAGGGCTCCTACTCCTGCATCTGCCCTCCCAACTACATTGAAAGAGTCACACTTTATGGCTTCCCCACCTGTGATCCAGGTGATGAGTCATAATTTGAAGTTTTTGGCGGAAAAAAAAAACAAAAAAAAGGACCCTTCTTCCCCGATCTTACCTTATTCCTCTCCCTTTCCTTGATGCCTTTGTCTTTCTCAACTCGCTTTCTACAGCGAATTTCACAGCCATGAGCATGACAGTTACTGGAGACAACTGGCAGTGTTACGATGTTCTTGCACTTGTTGGAATTGCGCCGTTTGTCTTCTATTCATGGAATGAGGTAAAGATTGGGTTGCTGAGTGATTTCCTTTATGGCTCAGGTTTTGTTGGCTCGCCAATGTTACTTCATTTCGCCACACTTGGTTTTTTCATCTGAAACATTTCTGATGTTCTTGGTGCGCAAGAGAATTTGATTACAAGCTCATGCAAGTGCTCCACAATGCAGGAGATAGATTGCAACCAGCCATTGCCCAAGGGCAGTCTCATTTATCTGGAGGGTGCTCCTGAAACGCTTTGCACTAACTACTTCTACGCCGTCAAGGTGAGTTGGGGTGGTGCCTTTTGATTTCATCTCACCGTGGTCGTAACCAGCTAGCTTAGCCAGCCTACATTTCCTTGTAGGCAGCAGCATGCACATTCAACACGTGCTCTCTCCATTGTCCATCTTCCCAGGGCGACACCTGTGCATACATCAGCACCCAGCTCGGCTTCAGTGTGCAACATCTTGCCAACCTGAACCCCAACCTCGACTGTTCACCTAATGGCCTCACGGCGGGCCAGTCAGTGTGCATCGAGCGCAGCGATGCTCTCGCCTACATTGTCCCTGAGTGTCTGAAATACGACACGCTGACACCGCAAGACACATGTGAGGTTCTTCTTCGAAGGACCACCACGGAGGCGGGTGGGGCTGTCACTGGAAGTAAATGGGCTGAGCTGTATCGCAACAATCCCGGCCTCACTTGCTCCAGCGCCATCCCTAGCAACACTAAATTGCAGGTAAGGGTTGGAAGGGTGAATGATTTCCTGGAAAAAAACAGGGAAGGGAGTGAGTTAGAGAAAGGGTAGAGGAGTATTGAGGGGAGGGAAGAGGCCATGAGGTTGGCAGGGTGGATGGGAAGGGAGGGAGAGACGGGGATTGCCAAGTGGTGGGCAATGGTATTTTCTGGTACAAGTTCTTTATTGGGCCAGAACTCTTGGGACTTTTTGACACTCCTGTTTTTGCTAGCAGTCCATTTCCTGTCAAGCTTTTTAAAGAATTCTGCCCCGTTACCTTCCATTGCCTCTATTCTGCATTCCTGTCACAGTTCACTCATCAAGTTTGCCATTCATGTCTCCTGTTGTGCCAGGTCTGTCTGAGGGCAGAGTACTGGTCATTTACAGCAAGCGTCATTTGCAAAAAAGGCAATTGCAAGAAGGTGAATGTCAAAGATTCGTGTTCAAGAGTTTTCATTACAGGTGGATTTACATGTGGTGCCCAGTTCGCAGAATACAATGGCAAGACCTGCTCTGGTACTGTAGGTACCAAGTCGATATGTGTACCCAGCTGAATACTAGCTGAATGTTGATGTTGGCTTAGTACCTTACTCTCCTGTTTGTATTGTAGTAACACAATAAGGGTACGGTACCGTATCACCCCGGATAGAAGCGTAGGTGCGCTTATAATAAAAAAATATTTTTTAGGGGGGTGCGCTTATAATTGAGTCAGTTTTACAATCGCATGCGCTTATATAAGGACAAATTCAGATATATAATTTAAAAGCACCAAATTCTACACCTCCTTGCAAATTCAATCGAAGCGCAATTTTAGAGGGTCACAATTCAGAATCGCGTACAGGCGATTCTCTGCCGGCGCACAGGGGCCGTTACACGTCATTGCACAGGAATGCCAGCACATACTGACTGAACGCGCAGGATGTAAGGTCCTCGAGAGTCA